AAAAATTAACTCAAAATTGGTCATATACACTTACATGTAAAACTATAATTTATTTAGGGAAAACATTTGCAGGACCTAGGTCTAAGCATAGGGTTTTTAGACTTGACACCAAAAGCACAATCCATAAAATGAAAAATGATAAAGTGGGCCTCATTAATATTAAAAATATCTGTCTTACAAAAGATCCTACATCTCAAACCCACTCAACATGTACTTCCCTCCTGCCACCCACCACACCAGGATAATACTATTCTAAAAAAACAAGTATTTTCTCCCCTTGGCCTGAAAGGCCTTTCTTTCCCTTCCCAGTCCATCCATCTGAGTCGTTAAGGAGCTCCCCAACTGCGAGCTCCACAGTAAAGGCTTCACCCATCTCCAAAGCCAGAACAGGTAACTCTCTCCACTGCATTTACTCATCATTTTGCTTTTAATTATTAGATCAAGTCCCACAGTCTGTCTTGAACTCTAGCCAGTTATAAGCATGTTTATCCCTTTATCCATCTGAAGGTAGAGACTCAAACTCTCTAATCCATCACCCCCTAACAAAAAGCCTTGTGCATCTTGCTCAATACAATTAGATTGAACTGGGATGTTAGAAAGAAGTAATACCTGTTTTCAAAAGTGGAGCTATCATTCATACTGAGGAAAAAGATAGCCCTTGATTGGCAACTTAGAATAAATATAAATAAAATTAAATATTTTCAGATGATAATTTCATTAGAGACAGTATGTTCTCACTTAACTATGTAATCTGTAGCTAGATAATGTATGAGTCTGTAAGCATTGAATATGCCACAGGAAGGAGTCATTATATGCTAGAATATAAAAGAGGAATTCAAAAGAAAATATTAACAAAAGGTATATATAGGAGCTGCAGGGTTTAAATTATGTGTCTCTTAATTTATATCAAAATACTTATGTGCATAAATTTAGTCTCATGACACAATATAACTCTTAAAAAAAAAGGTCACATTCTTAAAAGTATAAAGACTATTTTTGCCATAATTTACTATTATTATTTAATATGTATTATCATTACATTATTTATTGAGATGTATATTTAACTGATATATGAAATAGGTGAACACTCTACCAGTATACCACACAAGCTATATATGTGTGTGTGTGTTTGTATGTACGTGTATAAAAGATTGTTCCAAAAAGATGACAAGTGCTTAGAACAATGTGACATCTTGCCCTTTACTTGCAAAGACATTGCCATTGATCTCTCACTGCCAGATAATAAAAAGTTTCTTGTTTTTCTAGTAGTGATGATAGCTGGAGTGACTCATCTATATCCTCACACCAGGAAACCCAACTGACTCATAACATACACTTTTGAGATGACTGGCTAGGTTTAGAAGCATAATTCTATGTTAATGAAACAGATTAAATCTAACTGACTTTTAGAGGGTTAATCTAAGGCTTCACCTCCTTAGTCCCATCTAACCAATTCAGCCTTGACTAAATAAATAACTGGTGAAAAGAACTCCTTAAGGGTAGAGTCTTTAATCCCCAGTACATTGCCTGCCATGAAATAAATATTCAGTGATTGTTGATTAAACAAAGGATAGGTCTGTAAGTGTTAACTAGCATTCTGCCTGGTCCAGAGAAGATAATTAATAGTTGTGTTAGTGAAAGACTGAAGGTGGAAAATCTCAAAAGAAAGTATAATGTCTTGACTCTTTCATCCCACCAACTTCCCCATGAGAAGGCTCCTGAGCCTCTCTGCTGGCTCACCCACCTCCTGCCAAGTGACCATCTCTGTCTCCAAGTAGAGGAATTTTAAGTCTGGATTCAGTGGTCAGGAAATTCGGCTGTGAATGCTCTAGCTACTAGTTTGCC